TCCCCCGATATCAATCTACCTGAGGTTAAATTATTTTATTATCTACAGATAACAGTTCTCTTGATCCATGGTACATTTCATTACGTGATAAAATTCAGAACGAGCCGGATAAATATCCACAATGGCGCGTAAAAAACGAAAAAGTATATAAATTCATTTCATCAAATAAATCTCATATTTTTAACAAAAGAGAATGGAAAATTTTAGTGCCTAAATGTCAACGTAACAAAGTTATTGATTCTTGTCATATACCTCCAACTAGTGCACATTTTGGTTTCCGTAAAACTTTGTATCGAGTACAAGAAACGTATTATTGGCCAAATATGAGATCAGATATTTTGAAATTTATTAGAAAATGTTTAGTTTGCGGTGCGCAAAAATGTTCAAATTTGCCTAAAATCGGTACCATGGGTAAAGAAAAAATTGTTGATTTACCTGGTCAGATTCTTTCTTTAGATTTTGTCGGTCCGTTTCCGCGTTCTAAAAAAGGTAATAAATGGTTGCTAGTAGCAGCTGATTGGTTTTCTAAATACACTTACATATTTCCTTTGAAGCATTCTAAATCAAATAATATTGTAGATACTATTGAAAACAACATATTTCTGATATTTGGTGTTCCTCAAATATTAATAACTGATAACGCTCCAAATTTTGCTAGTAATAATCTTAAAGGTCTTTGTGAAAAATATAAAGTTAAACAGTGGTTTACTCCCTATTATTCACCACAATGTAATTTTGTCGAAAGGAATAATAAAACCATAACTACTGCTATCAGATGTTATATTGATAAACATGAAGATTGGGATTTACACATACCTCAGATTAGACAAGCTATTAATACTGCAGTTCATGAAGTGACAGGTTTTCCGCCAACTTATTTGATGTTCGGTAGACATGTTCCTATATCTGGCGAATATTACGATTTTAGTATTAACGACCAATCTGTAGAAATATTGCCTGGTGATAGAAATACTTATGCTGAGAATTTGACAGAGTTTAGAAAGTTATTCGTTGAGATACGTAACAAGTTGCATTCTGCATATGAAAGAAATTTAAAATCTTACAATCTCCGGAAACGGGATGTTTCTTTCAACGTAGGTGATAAAGTGTGGCGTGTTAATAAGGTTTTATCTAATGCCGCCGACAAGTTTGCAGCTAAGCTCAGTCCTAAGTATATTTTGTCAATAGTTTGCAAAAAGCTCTCTCATTTAGTTTACGAGTTAAAAAATACAGATGGTTCTAAAGCCGGGAAATGGCATGTCAAAGACTTATTACCTTATCACGATCTTGACGATTCGTCAGATGAACAAGATTAATATTTTCATTTTCTTATTTCAATTTATCTTTTCTTAAGCTTTACCTATATTTTAATTACCTAAATTTTCTAATTTCTCTTTAGCATGTTTTTTGTTACACTTAATTAACTGTTTTATACTTACCTTACCTTCGAAAAAATTTACCTCTTACTTCTAGCAAAATATCTCTAGGATATTTACATTTTTATCTGTAACTTTATCTTTACTATCTGTATTATGAGTTATCTGTATTTTACTTCTAGTGTTGCTAAAAGAGTGAATTCTCTTTTCCATTTGAAAACTTAAAAGTTTTTTAATTATCTGAAAGTAAAATTTATCTTATCTTTTTCTTTATTTTTTTTTGTATCTTACCTTATAAAAGAAATTTTCTTTTATTATTTTGCTGATTTGACTCCTACAAAGTGTAGTTAGTTATTCAGTAACAAGCGATTTAAGCTGTTATATTATTTTATCTTACCTTTAACTTACCTTTTCACTTGAAAGTACAGTGATTATCTTACCTTTAGTATTTTTATCTTACCTTTACCTTACCTTACTTATTTTTTATCTTACCTTACCTTAGACTATTTCAAACTGAGCTTGGTGGTGCAAATTTGTAAGTATTATTGCAGATGTGACTATAGAATGGCATACTCGTTGAATAATGGAGTTTATAGTTGTTATAGGATTTCTTGTCACCAGAGCAATATTTTTGTTTTACAAGCAAATTTCATTAAGTCAGTTGATTTAGATCTAGCTATCTTACCTTTGTTTTTTATACCTTCGTTTGAGTGTTTTATGGGTGGTAATACTCATTATATAACGTACCTAGGACGTTTTGTTTTTCTCTTGTGAATTAGGCCGGATGACGATGGTGTCAGTAGCTTCGGACTTGTAGTCACAAACTGCTAGCGTGGAAGGATTCGTATTGGGGGTGTTTATTTGGCTACAGACATTTCGATGTACTGAGGAATAGTTGGGTGACACTACTGTGCGCAATCTCAGTTCCCTAGTGGGCAAGTCCGAGGGTACTGCTGACAACTTGGCCATACGAGTACCTACTAAGTTTAATTGATTTCCTAGTGCCATTTCTATGGTTTTCAGTTTGGTGGAAACTATATTTCACTCCCTTGATTGTGGAACATTTGGGTTACCTTTCTCTCTCTCTTCTCTTCCTTCCTTTTTTTTGGTTTTTGTTTTCCACCTTGGACATAGCATTTTTTGGTTTGGGTTGCGGAATTGTGTTCGGGGAAATGCCTGCCTTTGTGGAAGTTCTACTGAGGTTAGTAATCGAGGGACTTTCTACAGATGAATGTCGCGCAGTACTAGCTTGGATTTCACTTATCATCTCCAGAGTAGATTTATTTAAATTACTCCGAAATCCAGACCGCTTAGATCTTTTTTGACATTGGTTGGTTTTCTCTCGAGTGCTCTTCGGTTTATCCTTGCTGGGGAAGTGTTCTGTCCAAGTATCTTTGTTTGTGTTCGTATTTTTTTGTCGAAACATTTTTGTTTCTATGGTATTACCAAAGCGGTAATTTGTTTTTTACATAAGTTTTCACTATTCTCTTGGAATAGCGGTTTCTTATATTACCTCTAGCCTTCAGGCTTACTTTATAACTCATAGTTGTAGTTTTGTGTTATCCAGTTTTTTAGTAGACTTACCGATTTTGACTTAACCCGATTTTAACTTAACCCGATTTTGACCTATCTATTTTGACTCCTTGGTGGACGAGTGATACGCGTAGCTATCGAAGCTAAAATAACTGAATGACTACTAAATATTGTTTTTATTTTTTTTTTTCTTTAAGCTATTATCATTGGATAATGGTTTCTTTCGTAGTTTAGGATTTTTCTTTAATCAGTAGTTCCTAAAGTCTTTAGTACAGTAGTTATCTACCTATCTAAAGCTCTTTCTTGGTTTGTTTTATTTTCTCACCATTTATTTTTGATGATGTTTCTTGGTGGATTGTTTGAATAATGATCTAGGTGAACATTTTGTTCTCATAAAAAATTTAAAGTCTGTACAGCCTTTAATTTTTTCTTTTTGGAGAGAGGCAATGTAGCATTTTATTTAAAATTCACACAATTTAAATAAATGTACAGAATTATTTTATTTAAACAATTCAAGTTTGAGTCCTCGCACCGAGATGGCATTCTAAGTATTGTTATTATCTTTTTATTTTTTTACAAGTTTATTTCTGGATAGTTATTTCAGTCCGGTTGAAGTTGTTCGTCACTTTATTTCTGACGGTATAGGTATACCTATACCTCGATGCCTACCTTTATCGCTATATTGGTGGTTGAAGCCGAACCCGATAGAATTATCGGCGTTTTTTGGCATTTTTGAAATTTGTGTGAGCGGAGGTAATTTGTGTGAGCGGAGGTAAGACCTTTATTTTTTTTTACATAACGTTTCCTAATACCTTTTTTCTATTTGTACAGGGTTTTATTTTATGGTACGCATTTCTGTGCCATTTTGTTTATTGTATCTTGACAATTGGGCCACGTTTGTCCCTACAATATACACGTTGAATAACGGAGGAATCTCCTGAATATATACAGCATTTTCCGATCCTGTCTGGGTGGAGACGTTTTAATCACGATCCAGTTCCAGCAGTTCACCACAACCAGCTTGTGACCAGAACGGATATAAAAGGCCAGGATCATTTCTTTTATATAATTTAAGTTCACTTTAATGCTTCAAGCCCTTCAGGCATATTAGATATTTTATTACTTTAGAGTCACTTTGAAATATTTTTATTCATGTTATGCATATTTCTGATATATACATAGTACGGTTTTTTTAATATAAAGAGTCCCTATATTTTGGTACCAAGATCGTCAGACTTTTGCGGAATAATTAATAAAATATTAATATTCAGAAGCGTGCAGATTAACTACCATCTTGAGTGATCTATTTTTAATACATACTATTTACCAACCAACATTTTCAAAACATCAAATTATTCGTAGTCTTATTTTATTCTAATTAACATTTAATTATTAATTATACTTAGTTGTTAGTTTATCTCAGCGTTTCATTTGTGTAATTCCTAAAATAAGTAATACCTATATTCTGAGTTGATTTCTCAGTTCTCAACTTAGAAAGTTTTTGAAAGTAAATGGAAAACTGAGTGGCGCCCAGTATATTATAAAGACGTAATTATCACAATTTAATTTTCACTAGCTTACGACCCATTGCTCACCGGCGAACAGCTCCGTCGCATAGTATTAGTTGTTTTAATATTTTTTCTAAAAGAAAATTCTTATAAAAAAAAAACATTCCATCATTTTTTAATAACTTCTAATGCTACAGACCCTGTATCTCTTACCTTTTTGAGATTTCAATGCTTATAATTGTTATCTAGGACGCACTATAGATGTATATATCTGAGTGGCGAAGGGGAACTCTAATAATGTAAAGTTATCAGCCATTTATTAATTTAGTCCTAAAGCCATTATGCCAAAATCTGCCAAGATTCATTAACAAGTTTTAAATTTAGTTCTGGTCTAATTTTGTGAATGATACACTAATCCATATGACAGTGGCATAAATACGATTAATGGAAGGTTCTAATTTCCATGACAAGGCCAGGTCTAAATTTTAAAACCCTTTAGTGAATTTGGATGTGTCTAAAAAAGACTAATAATAATAATATTATAGAGATATAATATTAACAGAGATAATATATGTTTTTTTAGGCTTCCCTAGCTGGGCCAGCACAAAGTATTTTTGAAAGAATGTTAAAAGGACCTGCCACACAAAAATCCAATCCTCTGCTACTGTCCTTTGCTTTAACATTGTCATTTTATTCACCGAAAACATAGAATTTTATAAGGGATACATAAACTGGCCCAATATTTTTGATATTTTTAACTCTCAGAATGGATTTACAAAATATTCATATAAAAAATTATCAAAATATAAGAACAACATACTTTTTAATAATTTTGAAATAATTTAATTGTATATTATTGGACTTACTTTAAAAGAAAGGCCAATCATAGAGTCGCAAAGAAAAACAGCTTACAACATATGTATAAATATATGTAAAAGAAAGGCAATTATTAAAATATATTTTGACTAACTGGTTGAGGTCTACGTATACAAAAAACAAAAACGGAAGCTAATAATATATTCAATTAATGTAAAAATGAGAAGAGCATTGTGGGATTAAAAAACATACGATGGTGATAGATTGTCTAAAACTAATAGGAGTACTGGTATTGTAAGTACTAACCTTTCATTGTGTTTTTGAATTTTTTATTACTTTTAAGAGAATTCAATATAATTAGATATTTTTCAGTCTCAAACAATACTGATGGTTACAAAGAAACTGAAGAAAAGGGAAGATAGTAATTTACTAGACAAAAGGCTGTTCTTTTTTGTAATATGGAGATGGGGCAAAATTCAAAGTAGTAGTATTCAAAACAGAGAAGAACATAAGCTAAAGAAAAAAAGGGTTGCTTGTAGACATTGAAATAAAAAAAGAACAGTGAAGTTCTTAAAGAGAACTTATTTAATAATTTTAATTATTGTTTATATTCTAATGTAAAAACTGTAATGTATGTTATTTCTGAATAAAAGACATTTAATAATGATATTTTATAGAAATTAATACTCAAAAACAAAAAAAACAACAGCAACAATAGCAACATAAAAACATGTTTAGAATAAGTTAAAAAAATATTGCCCTAATCTTTCAAAATAATTTACTATTTCTCTTCTTATTAATTTGGTCCATATTTATTTCATCTAACGGCGGCAGCTCTTGTTCAGGTATCATTCTGGCTGTATTGTGTAGCACATTGAAACAACAAAATCTAAAAATTTAAGTACATACATTAAAATTTTTAAATTGTGTTCTATAATTAAACAGATATTTTTCTCACAGAACTCACTGTTGTGCAACAATAACTGACATTGTGGTTTGCAATTTTGGTCTTATACCATAAAACATATTGGAAAGTGGCGTTTCCATATTCCGATAATTCTGAAACATTTCTTCGGCTCTCTTTCTGCATATATCCCCTCAATGCATATGCACTATCACCTTATAACAGATAAAAAATATTTAAATAGAGTATATGAACCCTTTGAATATTTTCACATTTAATTTTAAAAAATTTCTTTCAATTCATCTTATTCGTAATATATTTCTAAATTGAATACCTACTCAAATATTTAAGGAATATATTTTATATAAATGATCTAACAATAAGTAAATATATGGACCACTAACCAAGCAGGATTTAATTTGAAAAGTCACCAGTCTCCAAGCGGGTCCTTAATACGTCCTTAATATCCAAAAAATGGTGGCTTCATGCAGAGACCCATGCCAACAAGCAATCATGTCTATTGTCTATAGTTTTATGACTAGCATTTCCAGTAATTTAAATGTCGGAGAAAATAATGCTTTTCTATTTCTAAATACCTCTCCATCATTACCCCCTGTAAAGTATAAGAAATCTTGTGCTGATAAATATTGAAGAAAATATAACATATAGGTACTTACCAGGTGAATGTTTTTCTTACATTGTGTTCCATCAACTATCCCTATAATCCAAGGAAACCCAAATATACTATAAAATTGTTCCTGCTCTGAAACTAGAGTTTCTTATTCAGGCATTTTATGAACTGATGACTAGATTTACTAGAATTCCAACTTTACCTCTCATTTTGATATTCTAGATTTTGTTCAATTAAACCGAGGATATATATTACAGTGTCATTTAAAAAGTCTCTGTCCTAAAGACTTAAGGAGGTTCATTTCTTGGAAATATGATTTTTCCTTACATTCACTCTTGAGGAAATCCATTTTCAATGAATATACCTACTGATCGACGTCTCTAAGATATCAAAAGTAATCATCGAACTTACGTAGAGGTATCATAATACACTTTTTAGCTTTCTCAAAGGAATATAATAAAAGTAATTATACTTCCTCGTAAAACAAATTTTTTGTGCCTTAGTCAGGTTAAGTGGCCACTAGCCTGGAAATGTGACCGCTTAATTTAAATATAAATTCAAGTTAGATTAAAGCATAGTTCAAGAAAATAAGCTAAACATAATGTTAAGTTTAGCTTAAAAAACTTGGTGCAAACGCCCCTACATTGTATATTATCGATATTACCACGTATATTACAAATTAAAATTTAAATTAAAATACACAAAATAACTTTTTACAATTTTGGATAAAAACACCACACCACCGTCACGCCACTGATGGAGCGAAATGACAGAAAGACAGACGAAACTCAACCGTGTTGTCATATTTATGTACCCATCTCTTTTTAACTCTCATAAAAGTGTCAAACCATGTATGATTCTAAAAAATTGAGTTTTATGAATGGAGTGTTCTGTCTACCTATATTTAGATGTCTTTGGTATAAATAATTTAATGCAAATGAAACTTTTTAAAGTTTAATCATCATCATCATCATCATTGTCAGCTGATTGAATCATTATTATGGTGTAGCCTCCCTCACATATTTAAATATTCTCTTTGTAGTTGGGTCCATTGTTGTCTATTGTTGGCTATGCGGGCCCAAGTTATCCCTGTAAATTTTCTAATATCATGGTCCCGTCTCAAGTTTGGTTTTCCTCTAGGCCTTTTAATTTATCGTGGGTACCATGTTGTAAGTTGTAATTTTTGTGATCCATCTGTTGTCCGTCCTTCTTGCCAGGGTCCTGCTTATTATCACTTAGAGAATTTGATTCTGTGGATGACATCTATTACTTGGGTCTTTTGTCGTATCCACTCTATTCTTTTACGGGTTTTTTGGCTATTTCCAGCATATTTCGTTCCATTGAGCGTTGTGTAAACTGCAGTTTCCTGATAATGTCTGTTTTAAGTGTCCATATTTAGCATGCGTAGGTTATGGCTGGTTGTACACATTGGTCGAATGTTTTCTTCTTTTGATTAAGTGACATTCTATATTTGAATATGATTGAGTTTCTTCCATAAGTACTCCATGCTAACTTAATTCTTCTGTTGATTTCTGGTAGTAGAGCTAGCTGTGTATTAGTTGTCCCAAATATATATATTCTTCTTCTACTATTTCCAGTGTTGTGTTATTTATTAGAATGTCTTTTCTGTCTACTAGTTCGTTGTATATTACTTTAGTTTTTGCTAAATTCATTTTGGGACCTACTTTATTGCTGGCTGTATTTAGTTCATTAATTTGTGCTCGAAGTTCTTCAGGACTATTGGCAATTAGGACTATGTCACCAGGGAATCGTAGATTTTTAAGATATTCTCCATCTGTCTTTATCCTTTGTTGGTCCAGTCCAGCTGACGGAAGATTTCTTCTAGTGTTGCTGTAAACAGCTTTGGGGATATCGCGTGTCCCTGTCGCATCTCATTGTCGATTGGGAACTGAATTCGGATGAAAACACTATTTGTAATAAATTAAAACAATAAACTTGCAGTTAAAAACACTATTTGTAATAAATTAAAACAATAATTTTGAATCAATAAGTAATTTCTCATATTTGTAACTAATCATATATTTATTTATTTAAAAGGTACATGAAACATAATCGCCTTTCGACAAACAAGCTTTTATACCAATATCGCTTATTGTTGACAGCTATCATAAATTTCATATTCGCTGGCAATACTTTGGGAGAAACATTTTTTTTAATATTTTTGAAATTATTAGCTTTGAAAAATGAGATGTAAATAAAAATCGTGAAAAACATGAAAGACCGCAAGAATTGCAGATAAAACGCTAATTTTACACTGGTCTTGGTCTTGCATAAATAGCAAGATCAAGACTAGTCTCGCTCATCATTATATTCGGCTGAACTTAATATGTAGTTGTTTTGCTTCATCAAATGCAAGTTTACTTCATTTTGTAAGTAATGAGATGTAATATTTGATATTGGCAAAGTTTTAAATTGCCTAAATAATAAATCGACTATATTGAGAAAATGGAGAGAAAAAAATATGTATTTTTAAACATTTTTTAATCGTTTTTATCTTTTTTATCAATCAAATTTGATTAGAAAAAGTCGAGGAGATTTATTGAACCTTGACAAATCGACTGTTTACGAAGAGAAAAGTTGAGAGAGCTCCGAGTCAGTTTTATTTCATTTATCATTTCGGTTTCGCGAGGCCGATCATCTCTTCTTCAGCCTCGTCTTTGTTTCGAATAAACGAAAATTAAGGCCCGTGAAAAGCCCGATCGTGAAAAATGGCTTTTCCGTCGATAATCGTCGGAAGTCGTCAGTAAATTGAGTGCGTCCGGATATACTAAACGGCTAAAGAATGATTGGATAGAATTTGAATTGTATTGCGACCCCTGAAGGAGATCGTCACTAGTCGATTAATTTATATTCATTTTTAATTGGATCATTTTAGTTTTTTACTGGATTCGACTTTCTAAGAAAACTTTAGTTGGCCATAAATCAAATATAGTAGGTATTTTAGATTCACATTTTCTGAATAATATTTCCAACTGAAAGCAACGCATTTCCAGTTATAGGGAAAACGGGTATCACAAATCTGATCATGAAATTATCAGATGTCTGATCTCTGAAATTTTCTGATCTGCTCGGAAATCTGATCTGAAATTATCACATCTCTGATCCATAAGATGAAAAGGATTTCAGTAGAGTTGGACTAAAGCGTGAATTAAAATTCACTAGTGATCGTGATTTTTTATTCGCTGTGAAAATAAATATCTCGTTCAAATTCACTTAATTGACGATAGGCGGCATGACGTCATATTCCAGGAGGCATTGCTAAACGATGTTTTCAATACTCCAAAGGCAATAAAACTGAATAATCTCGAAACTGGGTTTTCCGGAACCGGAGCTATTTTTGGAACCGGCAATTTCGGTACAGATCCTTTTAGGAACCGGGATTTCCCGTTTTTTTAAACCGAACTTTCGGTACTAATTAATGTTTGTTCAATGATGGTGCGGATCATCAGGAAGCAAGGGATGGTTTTCCAAAGTAACATCTAGACAAAACTTAAGATTTTTAATGACAATAATATCAAATTATTAGGTAAGCAGTCATGAGAAAATAACATGAACACAAGCAAAGGTATATGATACAAAATCTTAACCATCTAAGATTAGCTGATGACATAGTTCTAATTACCAATAGTCCTCAAGAACTACAAGTACAAATTAATGATCTAAATACAGCCAGCAATAAAGTGGGTCTCATAATGAATTTAGCAACAGCTAAAGTAATGTATAACGAACTAGTAGAAAGAAAAGATCTGGGTCTTTTCTGGGTTTTCTTTCTTGTAAATTTAATTTAATACCTATATTGCCATATTGTCAAGAAATTAGATTTTTATCTAAAAACTAAAAACATTTCCAAAAAAAGAAGAAAAGAGACCTCATAAGCGTGTTTCTAGGGCTGAACTATACTACCTACTAGTTAAAATATTTGCACTTATTTTACCCTGTATATATTTGGGACAACTAATACACCAGCTCGGGATTTCTACTACCAGAAATCAACAGAAGAATTAAGTTAACATGGAGTACTTATGGAAGAAACTCAATCATATTCAAATCTAGAATGCTACTCTATCTAAAGAATAAAACATTCGACCAATGTATACTATCGGTCATCACCTATGCATGCGAAACCTGGATGCTTAAAATGAATATCATAAGGAAGCTGCAGGTCGCACAACGCTCAATGGAACGAAATATGCTTAACGGGAGACCGTTAAAGAATATATTGGATACGACAAAAGACCCATGTAATAAATGTCATCCACAGAGTCAAATCCCTCAAATGGCAATGACCAGGACACCTGGCAAGAAGAGCGGACAACAGATAGACCAGAAAAAATTACAACATGGTACCAATGAGGAATTACGAGACCTAGAAGAAGACCAAGCCTGAGATAGAACCATGATGTTAGGAAATTAGTATGAATAACTTGGGCCCGCGTAGCCTACAATAGACAACAATGGACCCAACTAGAAAGAGAATAAAACAAACTAACAAACGCTTTATTGTACAAAAAGCCAAAACAGCTTCATCGACAAAGCAAAACAAAAAAGCACAAAAACAAATATACAAATAAAAATGTCATACAATACAAATCAATTCAAAAAAAAATTTACGTCATAAAATTACAAATAAAACATATATGGACATTGCAGAACACAGGCGTATCTAGAAAATTTTACAAAAGGAAAACTGTAAATGGATGAACAAACTAATGTTATATATTATAAAATCAAGAGTTATAAAATATTAAATATTAAATACTAGACCTTTAACCAGTGTGTGAGATGATCAAAATTGTAAAATTCAAAATTGTTCATGATTAAACATCAACAAAAAAGTCGTTTACTGCATATAGGGCTCTCTCCAGTAAGTATGATTTCAGAGCTTTGCGAAATGCGGGAAAGAATGAAAGTGACTTGATATTCGAAGGCAAACGATTGTACATTTTCTTGGCATTGTACAGTATTGAGCCTTTAACTAGTTCTGAGCTCGGGGTTGGCAGATAAATATCGTGCTCCGCATTCCTAAATGGATAGTTGTG